TGTAAAAGTCTACTTTCTACTGATTAGAGTTATGTTGTTCTGCATTCTTTTCTCCATTTTCTGCCTAACAATAAAAACAATATTCTTTTGTCCCTTTCTGTAAAATGAACCTCACCCAAATTGCTTTCTTATGATTTCTAATAATCTTATTATCATAATACCTACATTCAAACCATTAAGTTGTAGCTCTTTCATTTACCCATTGCATCACTTCATTAGACCTATATTCAGTTTACACTAGAATCCTTTAAGTAGAGGCAATCACCATATTGGATATTTTATTTTCTGGAATCCAGGGGAATACAATTCTCTTTGCCATAGTCCTTGAATTCTACTTGCCCAAATCAGACATTTGTCAAAAACTTGTATCTGTCCCTAATTTATATTGCAATGGCCCTGATTTGAAGTTCACTCATAATCTGGCCTTCTCTTACCTCTATAAACATTATATATAAATCTGTAACTTAAGAATAACTCTTAAGTTTTCTAAGACTTTTTTTTTTTTTTTGGTGGTACTGGAGATTGAACCCAGGGCCTCATGCATGCAATTAAGGTAAGCACTCTACCAAGTGAGCTATATCCCCAGACCTAAATATTTTTAATATAGATTCTCCTTGTATTTAATATAATTTTCTAATATATTAAGTACACATTATTTTTAAATGAGCATTTGTATATATGTTGACAAAAAAGAGCAAAACTATATAAATATCATCTATATATATGTATAAATGGTTATGTAATCCTTGCTCATATAGTTTTATAATCTGACTTTGCCTGCTTCTCATGACTCTGAAAGTTCTGAACCCATGCTAAAGTTTATTCTGATTCTTCCAACAAATAGGATCATCACTATACACTGCTGTGAAATGGTCTTCTGTTGTTTGCTTGTTTTCATTTTGTCTCTCTAAATATGTCCACAAGTTTTTTTTTTTTCCTCCAACTCAGCAAGTATCATAGATTTCTTTTTTCTTTTCAGAGCATAATACAGGAAGAAAAGAAAATACTAATCTTTATGACCCTGGAATTGTATATGAATTAAAATTTAATTTGTGGGTAGTCTTTCAGTTTTCAAGTGTTGTGTACATGGAGTTAATTATATAGTAGAAGGTAGGTTTCATTTTATTTTTTTAATGTTTGAAGTAATGAGGAAGGATTCAAAGATCAGAGTCATTTTGCAAACAAACTGTTGGATATGGATAAAAGAAGGCAG